AGGAAGGAAGGAAGGAAAGAAAGAAAGAAAGAAAGAAAGAAAGAAAGAAAGAAAGAAAGAAAGAAAGAAAGAAAGAAAGAAAGAAAGAAAGAAAGAAAAAGAGAAAAGAAAATAGATCTGAGTACATCACAAGTTGAAAGGGAATCACTTTGTAAAAACTGTGGTTCTGTGTAAGTCATGTCTTAGCGCCAGGAGTATACAAGTTAACCAGGCTCTAAGGCACACACAGCAAAATGTGTGTGCATACATCAGAGGAGCCTGGATGTGTGAGTCACACTCAAATCAAGGCTCTTCCCAGTCCCCACGAGACCCCGGTCCTATGCTCCAATCTTCGTCTCATGCATCATCTCATGGAAAGGCTAAAAACAAAAGTACTTCTGCTGTGGGTCAAGTTCAAGGAAACTTTGACCAAGAAGGACACTGACCCACACAGGGAACCAGCATTTCCTGTCCAGCAACTCTCTGAGCCTGGCTGTGCCCTAAGAGTGAGAAAGGTGTAAGCAGGTGATGCTGATGTGGCTGCATGTGTACGTGATGGCCAGGAGAAGCCCAGGCAAGCTCCTTTGAAATTGCAGGATTGCTGTCCAAAACCCAGATGGCTTGTTGCTATTCATAGGCACCTTTCAGTGGCGGATGTCCTGGGAGGCTATTTTTAGCAAGGATAAGGTCTGGTGGTCATGTAAGCTGGTGTGGATAGAAAGTGAGAAAATCTAGTCTCTACTTCAGAGATCCCAATCTTGAATATGACGGTGGTGATCATTGTCCCTGAACCCAAGTCCCAGACAACAAGTTGTGTGGGCTTTCCCGATCGCTCCTGGTTCTCTCTCTATCATCTGGAAAGAGGCCACCTGAGACTTCCTCTCAGACTTTTTCCTCCAGGGCTAACCCCTTCTCCCCTCCTAACAGGTAGTTTCTTCTGTTGGCCCTTGTACCCCAAGCTAGGACTGCCCTCCAGGTACGACCAAGCTTCCTCTCAGAGCAAGAACTGTCTGCAGACCCGGCTGGTGGGCCAAGTCAAAGGTCTGCCTATTCAAGGGAAAGGCAGACAGTTCACCGAAATGGCAGGTTCTAGAAAGGACGCCTGGCCCAGTGGCAAAAGAGTCAGGAGCCGGCCTTCAAGGACACAGCCTGGGGGAGCCAGCGTAGCTGGAGGTCTGAAGCGGGATTGGTGGAGGACTTGCCAGCCCCACCCAGCACAGTGGCCTTTTCTAGGCTGAGCCCCACGGGCTCCTGTTACACTTCTTGGCTGTGTGCGTGCAGCAGGATCTGGATAGGACAGACTCCTCCAGCTTCAAGGTCAGTGAGATGATCAAAATGCTTGAGTTCTCCCAAGAAGGACAGTGCTAGCTAGAGCCAGTGTGGTGAGCCTTAGCTCAGGAGACCCCCAGCCACGGAGGAAACACTTACTGGGAAAACCGTGTGTGGGCCAGAGAAAAATGGGAACTTGATGTACCAGTAGGATCGCCCTTGTGTGGAATCACCTTTTCCCCCGGGCATGAGCCTGGGTAGCTCAAAAAGGGGACCCAGAACGTTAGCTTGCAGTGCCCCTGTTTCCTAGTAAATTTTGTGGAATTTTGACCCTGAACTCAGGATAGTTTAGATGGTATGTTCCATTCTCTAGTAGTTTGCTGGTACCAATAACTCGTGTCTGGGAGTGTTTTTCCTCAGTTGCATCAGATGCGATGCCCGGTGGCTTGGAATGAACTAGCTAGAAGATTTAAGCTCCTTGAGGCTCTCCAAAAGAGCAGAACAGTTACTAACGGTCCAGATTCCACTTAATGGCTAATGCTGCTGCCAGAGACTCACTCTTGAACGTATATACCAATCATGAACTATATAAAGCCCCATTTTTAGAAGGAAAATGAAAAATAAGCTTCAAATGGCTAAGTGGCAGCCTGCTCTTTACTTATTTGCTTGGCTCTTGGGGGACAGTCATTATCAGCCCTGCCCTCCTCCATGACTCTGGAGGCTCTGCTTTGAATGTGTGGAGAGCGGCACTTGCCCAGAAAACCCCTTTGTTCTCAGTGCTGTCTTCCGGACCTTCCTCAAGCACAGCCAGGTCCTGGGGACCAGCACAATGCTCCTGGCTGGGGGCTCTAGGTGGCAGTCAGTACACTCAGGACAACGCCATGTTAGTTAAACTGTGTGCTTTCCAGGAGGCTGCTTTCCCCACAGACATCTTTCACTTTCTGTTGCATCTCTGCCCTTCTATTTTCGTGGAGAACATGATGTCAGAGGGGGCAGAAAGACCGGCTGTTCCTGGACTGACTGGCCACTGCCAGCTTTTGTAACCCTTGCGTTCCACACATTGCGAGGCACCTTTTAAAAATCCCTTGTGCTTGGAGCTGATCATACCTGTAGGCTAAGGTATGCAAAGTGTAGACTCTACCAGCTACATGATATAACCATGGCCTCAGGGCATGAACTGGGGACCCGGGCAGTCTCTCTAAAAAGGTAGCAGAGGCAGAGGCAAGAAGCAGGAGTTGGGGTTTGGAATGAGGAGGTATGGGCTATCAGAGGTAGGATGGGGACTGAGTAAGTCTGAGACGGATTCAGTCTTCACTCCAGAGGCCCTGAGTCTCCATCTCTGTCACAGTACAGAGGAAGGTTCATTTGTCTTCTTTGAGGTCACACGGAATCTGTGTCTGGCGTTCTGGGAGTTCTTGTCTGTCGAGCCAGGTACCTCCCACAGAGCCAACTCTGAAGGTGACTGTTGGAGGTCACACGCACCCCTGCCTGAAGCGGCAGAGAAGATGACATCCCACTCTGTTACAGCTGCTCAGAGGACAGGGTGGCCTTTAGGTCCCCATTCTCTTGGAAATGCTTTCTCTTGAC